AAAAAAAAAAAAAAAAAAAAAAAAACAAGATAAAGCGCGAATTTCTTCGCGAGGAAGAGGAATGGGTCGACGACGATGGTTCGCCATTCTCGGAGAAATCGAGCAACGATCGAAAGGAAACGGAAAATAAAGTAAGCGATAAGACGGGTAAAGAGGAGAAAACGGCAGAGAAACTTTCCAAATTGAGACTTTACCGCTACGCAAAGACGATACGCGATAGATCGCGAATTCTTGTGACTGAATGAGATAGAGACTCGGCTGAGGATACTCGCTGCGTGCCATCCCTCGAGGTGTATCCGATCGTCTTTTTCTCCAACTCGACGGAGGAGGAGAAATTAGACGACGGCGGAAGGGAAGAAAGGAGAGAGAGAGAAAAAGCGGCGCGATGGTGTGAACGAGAAACGATGGTGTTACCTCGTGAGCTTCTCGATATCCTGTCTCTGCGATAACGCCTTGCACATACAAGATATCTGATCCGGCGTATAGTTACTGGCTGTAATTCCCAGAGAAAGCCCGCCGATGTTTCCGATATTGGCGGACGTGTTCGCGGAACTGCAAGTGGTCAGCTCCTGTGGATACTGAAGGCCGCCGTTCGACGCCGCCGTCAGGTTTTGGGAATGCGAGTGGTGCGTCAACGCGAGCCCGGACATCGACGAGTCGTCAAACTGCCCGGTAGACGCGTTCCGGTGCATACCACCGATCTGACTGTTGCATTCGCTGTTCGGCGACGACAGTTGATCCGAGCTATCGGGCATTCTCGGTGTCGATTCTCCGGTGCCGTTTCTCGCCGATCATTCGAGGCTCGTCTCTCCGCGTCGCGCGGACGTTCTCCTCGCGTCGCACGCAACTTTCGCGGCTTTTTCCGTTCCTCCTCCGCGGTCGTCGTGGTCGTCGCGACGTCCGAGCGTTCCAACCGCGATCGGCGTCTCGCGACTCGCGTTATCGATCGGCGAGTAAACGCGCGGCCGTACGTGTACGTCTACGATCTGACGTAGTTTGTCCAACCGAGGGAACGAGCACTCGCTGCACCAACGATCGACGTTTTGTTTTTCGATGAGCCGCGCTTCATTCACGTCCCCGCCATTCGCGTCTTCGTTCGTAAATCCTTGCCGCCGGGTGCGCGTCGCTCGCGCCTCTGGTGCAGCACAGTTCCATCGAAGCCAGAAGCCCGCCAGCACCCTTCAACCTTCTCGATCTCCGTATTTTCTGTGCATCGTGTGCGCACCGCGCCGATATCCGCCGATAATTTACCACCGAACCGCCACGGTTCGAAACTTCGCACTGATAATGACGGATTGCACGGTTGAGATTGGTCGGTCGATCGATTGGCGAAAAACTAACGGGGGTACGTCTGACCGCGCAAAGGCGCGTTAACGCGGTTCTGCAGCAGCACGAACGACTATCGCGGTGGTGCCAATGGTACTGCCGATCGCTCCGCACCGATGCCGATGTCGATGCCG